AGCCTTCAAGAATACAAACTGACCTAAGTCAGCAAGTACCATGGAAGTTTTGGTGTCAGCTGTCCCAGATGTTGTATATTATTTAATAATAATAATAATTTATTGTCATTGTAAGTATATACACAGTATACCATACAACGAAATTCACAGTAATTTATTGGGTGTAAATTACAGTATTCATTGTGCTGTAGTGCTTCTGACATGAAAAGGAACTCAATGACACATACAACAACAAACAAACAAGTAACTTGTGCTTTCTCTGCTGTCTTGGTGAGTGGGTGGGTGGGTGTGTGAGAGAGAAGAGACATTCCCTGGATTTCTAACATTGTTTTTACAGTTATTTCAGTCTTACTGAGGGATAAAATTATAGCATAAAAAGTATGAGAAACATTAATTTCCAAACAATTGATCTGGGTTTATTTCCAACTAAGTATGTTATGTTGGCCAAGTCCTGTGCATAGCATAATGAATCACACTAGAGTAGGTCCATCGAATCAATGGAAATTTGGTGAGACAACTCTTCTCTAAGTTACGTTGATTTGAATGGACCTACTCTAGATACAACATACTATGCTAAAGTAAGTCATGGTTAGAGTAAGCCCATTTGAATAAGTGGAACTTGCACAGGAGCTGATTTCTCCAAATTCCCATTGATTCAATGGGCCTAGTCTAATGCAATTTGCTATGCTAAACAACAGGATTTGGTCAGTTTCACTTAAAAATACATCCCATGCCTCCCGAACTTTGTGAGATTTACTTCAGTTACATGGCATCCAGTTTTATTATATTATTAATTGAAATTGTGCACTTAAAAGAGTGAAAAAACATAAAATTTTACTTTTATCTGTAGTTACATAACCAGCATTAACTACATGGCATAATATTTATAGCTTTAGACATCCAGAGAGATGAGAATCTCTTTTCTGAAAATAGTTTACAAAAGTTCTTAGAACACTTGTATTATAAAAACATTGAATATTTATTATTTCCTGAGCACCATTAAATGAGAGCACAGGCTTGGAAGTTCAAGTATGCTCTTGTGTTTTTAATTTCCTGTTTCTTTGTCTTCTAAGTAAAGTAAGGAAGAGAAGCAGAAAGGGAGACCTTTCTAATAAACTGTGTTCTGAGGTATTCTGAGGCCCTTAGGAATCTTGTCCATAGTTCCTTAACTGGAAAATTAGTAATGTCAGATATCCTCTAAAAGGCCCCTTGCTCCCCATCTCTAATGTTCCTCTGCACTGTGTAGTTAGTATGTGTGTGTGTTGTCCAGGCTGTACTCTCAACTGATGTGAGAGATGAGGCCCAACAGGACCACAGCTGTGCCTCACATTAATTGAGGACGCCTGCTAGAATAAGTAAACGGACTTTAGGCTTATCCAGAATGTACACTACTTTGTTTTTTAAAGACTCCCAACAACCACCTGTTACAAAAGAAACACATTCAGGGTTGAAGAATTTTGACCTTGGAACTATGAAAATTTGTTCTGCATTTAGAGTATTAAAAATTATGTACAGTATAAGTAACAGCTTTGAATTAAGCATACTGTCTTAACACACACAAAACTCCACCCCAGACTTTATTTTGAGCAGTACAGTATTACGTACATAGAACAAGAAGAGGAGTACCTCCTGGTGCAGTGGTTAAACTGCAGTACTGCATTGGAGGTCTTCTCACAACCTGAGTTTAGTTCTGGTCTCGGGTAGCTAGCTAGGGGTGGGGGCAATGTGCAGCCTACATAATTAAAATGGTAAACTGCTAAGAGAGCTTTAAGCTCTATGAGGTGGTATATATGCAGCACAGTTTGCTTTTGCTTTGCTTTATGCCTCCTATTATTAATCAGTTGAAGGTCAAATTCCTGTGGGTCTACTGAAAATGGCACTACAGATCTATCAGTAGATCTACCGTGTTTCCCCGAAAATAAGACAGGGTCTTATATTAATTTTTGCTCCAAAAAAATGCATTAGGGCTTATTTTCAGGAAATGTTTTATAGTCATGTCATCTTCTGGTTGCTGCACAATGGTGGAGGGCGGGGTTCACTTAACTAGGGCTTATTTTGGGGGCAGGGCTTATATTATGAGCATCCTGAAAAATCATACAAGGTCTTATTTTCAGGTTAGGTCTTATTTTCGGGGAAACAGGGTAGGTCTGCTTTGTGTCACCATCCCCCGCAGTACCCTAGAATATAATTGAGAAATCTCTGCACAACACAGCAGATTGTTAGCAAAAAACATTGTGGGAAGAGTTCTTTGAAGAATGGGAGTTTGAGGAACACTTCTACAATGTCTGAGGTGATTCTGCACATTCCAACTGTCTGCTTTATCACAAAAAAAACCCTGAATTTCTCATATTTTGGTAAGTGACCCTGTGAATGTGAGCCAGATCTTAAAAATAGTGTAACACATCAAGACTGAATGACCAAATAGAAAAGTCCAATTCAAATTTATCACATAAGATGCAGATGATAATTTTCCTTGGACCTCTACCAAATGAGGTATGTGTTTACGACAAACCAAGCCTGTATTCAGTGGTGTATCAATAGGCAGTATGTTACTTCTTCCTCCAAAGCAATATCAGGAAGAATTCACAACTATTATATTATGTGATAAAAGCCCTATAAGACTTATTACTGCATATGAAAGATAAAACAGCTAATTAAAATGTTTTTGAAACAAATGAGCATAGCTAGTAGATCCAGACTGATGTTGCAAACCCACGAATATGAATGTCTGCCCAGAAGTAAGGTCTAGTAAGTTCAGTGGGACTTACTCCCAGACTCAGGAGAGTCTCTATAGGAATGCAATGTAATCCTGTGCAGATTTACATAAAAATAGTTGCTTTGATTTCAATGGTACCCACTAATAAGTGTGCATTGGCATAGAATGTGATCAGATGGGGAAACCGCTCACATTTTGGACCACTTGTGGCACCATCTAGTGCAAGCTATTTCTGGTGATCCCACAATGCATAGTCATGGTCCAGGGCTACTCTATTTTGGGGACAGGTCTGGAGCAATTCCCCAATGGACAAAAGGGTTGTTTACTCACCTTCTGATCCCGTCCTTAGCTGAAAAGTCTCTGCTGAAATAAAAGGGACAATTTAATTTTTGCTTAAGTCCACAAGTTTTATTAGGAACTAATTGTAACTAAGCACTAGTTTTTACCTTAAGCCTAGGCAAAAAGTATATTTTTCCTCTTACAGTGTTGTCCCTGCAGATAACAAAATCTACAGGCAAACTTGCCAAATACAGATAGAGGTAGAGTCATATTTGAATAATCAGGTAATCTATTTCCTCTTAAGACTGCAATACTAGACTTTTCTGAATGAACTGTTTTCAAAGCATACCTAAAGCTATAAAGGAGGAGTACAGACAAAGTACAGTATATCTTAAATGAATATTGGGTTAGGAGGAGCATTTCTCTATCTTTCATGATATTAGAACCTAGGGTTTTTTACTGAAGCTAAGTGATAGCTGAGGCAAATAAAAGGAAGTATATCTTCACACACCAAATTGTTAAATCTGACATCTGAGTGTTCAGCCTGGAGGCAGGCAGTGCATCATGGCCTCTCCCAATTTGAAGAGACCATTGTCCAGCAGGCTGAGGCAACGAGGCAGTCCCGAAAGCAGCAAAATCGGAGCTGGACAGGGGACAGAGTGTATTTGTCTTCAGTGTGGAAGGGATTGTTACTCTCAAATTGGCCTTCTCAGCCACACTAGACACTGTTCCAAGTCCTCCATACAGAGCACATTTACCATATAGTCTCTCGAGACTGAAGGATGCCTAATCCAATCACTGCCATAAGATATAATAAAGGCCATCAATCTGCACAGTTTTAATGGGAAATTCATAGAGGATGCATCTGTCCTTAGCTAATAGTTCAATTGTACTAATTATCCTTCAAATTCCAGAGGTAGTGTGGCTCCAAATACCAATAGTGCAGGAGCCAGGAGAGTGTTGTTGTAATCATTTTGCTTTTGACTTGTTTGGTGAGTAAACAGAACACTGGACTGAACAGGTTCTTGGTCTAATCCAGCATGGTTCTTCTCATGTTATTGCCTGTTGTTCAGTCTCTCGTCCATGGGGTGTAGCAGTGCATTCAGCTGGGGCTGGAGACAGCTGGGTCAAAGTCCCATGCAGCCATGAAGTTCACTAGGCCATATTGGACTGGTAACATTCGCAGTCTAAGCTACTTCATGGTGTTGTAAGCATAAAATGGGAGTAGAAACTAGTGTACACCTCCTGGAACTCTGTGGAAGAAAAGCAAGCTATAATAAATGAATTTTAAAATAAATTAATAAGTTATGTTAAATAAAATAAAATGCTAGGGTACTTTTCCAGCTATATTATTAAATTGTATATTTAATAGCAAAATGGCACATGAATGAAATATTTGTAGCATCATGCTGTAATCTATATATTTCTGTTTATAATAAAGATGTGAGAATTATCAATCCTTAATGTTCAGTTGTTTTCCAAAAGAAAGAAAAGAAACTGGACTTTTTCCCGTAAGAAAGCAGCACTGAGGATCACAAAGAAGGTGAGGCATGGGTGGAACAGGCAGGAACAATATCCATATGTATAATATTTCCCAACAATATGGAGACGCATTTGCCATTGCATTTGAGAATTACAAAAGAAGAGCCATTATTTATTAGTGCTAGAAGTTGTTTCTCTGGTAGTACCTCACATCAGATCGTTCACCTAATAAACAGCATCCATATGGGAATTTTGAAGAATTCATAAACAGCTCCTGTTTTTAAAAAAAGAGAGAGAAAGAAAAGAAAATGAGTGAGCCTGTCTCTCTGCCATTGGAAATTAGGCTATGCCAAGAGCGTATTGAAAAGCTGTCTTCATCCAGCGCTGGACAGTTTAACAACTCTGTTCCCTGTTCTGATTTGCACACTGGCTCTTTGACGCAACAGAAAAACTGCTTTCCCGTCCCAGCCTCCCCCACCCCACTTCCTCTTAAACCTGCCTCAACAGTTTGAAGATTGTGGATTCTCACACCCACCCACCCGAGAGCCGAGTTTATGTGAGGATATTGTTGACCGGTTCCTTCGGTGAAGCCACCTCCCCGCCCCCTGCCCAGCTTTCCTGTTTTCTGTCAGGAAACTGGAAGTGAACACAAGGTTCTTCTTGCAGAATCGGTAACTCGGCTCCTGACCATTTGACAGTCAAGTGCTAGCCGGTTGGCAACTCCACAGCAAGTCAGTGAATGGTCAGGCGGCAATGAAAAGATGGCTTTAGTTTGCAATTTTTTAAAAGGCCTTCCGGTAGTCTCTGGAGCTTCTTATGCAAGATAATAAATTATTCTCTTCTTGAAATAGAGTGGAACAAAGCTACTACTTGTGCCTCACCGAGAACAGCATGGCTCAGCGCAGATGAGTGCATGTGTGATGCTTGCTTACAGCTGTGTAAGTAACAAAGAATTTTAGGACACTCATTTTTGGGAGAGATATATAGTTTTAAATTCCTTTCATGCTCTGTCCTTATATCCTGTATGTGTGTGCATACACAGGGATGTACCTATTGTATATGTGCACATGCCTCTTGTTTCATACAGCCGGCATTATTGGAAATGATCTGTTTCTTAGTTTCTTAATCAAAGAAGCGGCGTCCTTTGTAGATGGAGCAGTAGACTCAAAACATTACTTCCTCCAGGCTGTTCCACAGGAAAGATCATTTGTCTCTTGTTTTCTTCTCTCAAGATAGAAAGTAAACCTTGGGCAAGTTATGCGTGTGGTGGGGAAGATACAGAACTTTCAATACTAGGTTGCATTTACTTTGTAAACGGCTTTTAATCAAGTGAAAATTAATTGAGTACTTAAAGGCAAAGCACTGCATTGAAATGTAAGACACAGAGGAATCTTATCTGGGTCTACTTAGAAGTATGTCCCATTTTGTGCCGTAAAAGTTACTCCTGAGTAGATTACTTTAGGACTGCTGTGTTTAACCCAAGTAAAACCTTGAAATTACATGAAACAGCAGATGGAGTTTTTTTAAAAGTTTGCTAACCCTGACTTCTGTTGTTGTTTAGTCGTTAAGTCGTGTCCAACTCTTCGTGACCCTATGGACCTGAGCATGCCAGGCCCTCCTGTCTTCCACTGCCTCCCAGAGTTTGGTCAAATTCATGTTGGTAGCTTCAATGAGATTGTCCAATGATCTCGTACTTTGTTGTCCCCTTTTCCTCTTGCCTTCCCACTTTCCCAACATCAGGGGCTCTTCCAAAATTGTCTTTCCCAATTTTCAACCAAGCAGCTGTTCCATATCCAGTTCTAACTGTTGCTTCCTGTCCCACATATAGATTTCTCAGGAGGTAGATAAGGTGGCCAGGGACTCCCATTTCTTTAAGAACTTGCCATAGTTTGCTGTGGTCCACACAGTCAAAGGCTTTTGTGTAGTAACAATGAAGCAGAAGTAGATGTTTTTCTGGAACTCTCTGGCTTTCTCCATAATTCAGCACATGTTAGCAATTTGGTCTCTAGTTCCTCTGCCCCTTTAAAATCCAGTTTGTACTTCTGGGAGTTCTCAGTCCACATACTGCTGAAGCCTACCTTGTAGGATTTTCAGCATAACCTTGCTAGCATGTGAAATGAGTGCAATTGTATGGTAGTTGGAGCATTCTTTGACGCTGCCCTTCTTTGGGATTGGGATGTAGACTGATCTTTTCCAATCCTCTGGCCACTGCTGAGTTTTCCAAACTTGCTGGTATATTGAGTGTAGCACCTTAACAGTGTCATCTTTTAAGATTTTAAATAGTTCAAATGGAATGCCGTCACCTCCACTGGACTTGTTAGCCATGTTTTCTAAGACCCACTTGACTTCACTCTCCAGGATGTCTGGCTCAAGGTCAGCAACCACACTATCTAGGTTGTCTGTGACATCCAGATCTTTCTGGTATAATTTCTCTGTGTATTCTTGCCACCTCTTCTTGATGTCTTCTGCTGCTGTTAGGTCCCTACCATTTTTGTCCTTTATCATGTCCATCTTTGCACAAAA